TAAAGGAGCTATAGTCACCTGTTCCCTTCCCTGCCTCAGGATTACCCTTCTGTGGGTCAAGTAGCTCAGGCTCTCACTGCAGCGAACATCCAGCCTATATTTGCTGTTACCGGAACAACACTGCCTGTCTATCAGGTGAGACCTCCGAGTAAAGGCCTCCCAGCTCATCCCATTCTTTCTTAATCCCCCCACCCTACTTGTTCTTCCCACACAACTCTTTCCAGACCCACAGGAACCTGCTCTCTTCAAACTTTATTCATACCTCCCTCCCTCCCTTCCTCATAATGCAGGAGCTGAGCCAGCTGATTCCCAAGTCGGCTGTTGGGGAGCTGAGTGAAGATTCCAGCAATGTGGTGCAGCTCATCATGGATGCTTATGATGTGAGTGAGAGCTTCGAGGGTGGGCAGGGCAGGGTGAGGGGCAGGGGCCCTCAGGAGGCAGAGCGTAACTAAGAGGGCACGGTCACTTTGAGTTCCACCATTCCACAGCCCCTCCCTACGGTTTGCACATGGCTGCCATTAGCAGTCCATATACTCACACTCACAAATATAAGTATTTGTCATATTGAGGATTGAGCCTAAGGCCTTGCTTGTGCTAGGCAAACACTCTGACACTGAGGTATATCCCCTACTGAGCCATAAGTCTATCTCTTTTCATTAGTTTAAAGAATATTTAAGGGGAACTGGAGCGATGGCTCAATATTTAAGAGCAATGGCTGCTATTCCAGAGGACCTGGGTTTGGTTCCCAGCACCCACATGTTGGTACACAACTGACCATTAATATGATTTTAGAGCATCTGATGCCCTCTTCTGGCCTTTATGGGGACTGCATGCACATGGTGCACAAATATACATGCAAACAAAACACCCATGCACATAAAAAATTTAAAAATATTTAGCCGGGCGTTGGTAGTGCACGCCTTTAATCCCAGCACTTGGGAGGCAGAGGCAGGAGGATCTTTGTGAGTTCGAGGCCAGCCTGGTCTCCAGAGCGAGTGCCAGGACAGGCTCCAAAGCTACACAGAGAAACCCTGTCTTGAAAAAAAAATATTTAATATTCATTCACACGTCTATAATGTTTTTGGATCAAATCCACCTCTCATTCTTGTCCCTCTAATTCCCTGTTACACCTCCACCACTTTTCCCTTTTCAATTTCATGTGATTTTTTTTTTTTTTTTTTTTTTTTTTTTTTTTTTTAGACAAGGTTTCTCTGTGTAGCCCTGGCTGTCCTGGAACTTCCTCTGTAGACCAGGCTGGCCTTGAACTCACAGAGATCCGACTGCCTCTGCCTCCCGAGTGCTGAGTTGGTCCTTCTTTCAGAAATGACTTCTAGCTGGAAGGAAGAGCCCCAGGCTGCAAGAGAGCCAGATATAAGCAGAACTAGTAGCGACTAAGAGGGTAGAAAGTGGGGTGCCTGGGGTGGGGGGGGGTATCACATGGGTATCTCCTCCCTCCCTTTCCACAGAGCCTGTCATCCACAGTGACTCTTGAACACTCCTCACTGCCTCCTGGAGTCAACATTTCTTTTGAATCTCATTGTCCTGAGAAGAGGGAGGGTGAGGCTGGGAACCGGGGACAGTGCAGTAATGTCCGAGTCAACCAGACGGTAAGAGTCAGCCAGCAGGTATAGATACATAAAACTGGGAAACAGAAGCAGGGAAATATATGAGGGCAGTCATGGAAAGGAGGAGTAGGCTTCCACTCATTCTTAATTTACTGCATGGTCAGTGGGCTTAGGGTGTGTGTGCACACATGAGGGTGTGTATAGCTTAGGGGTGTGTGTGCACACATGAGGGTGTGTATAGCTTGGATGTGTGTGTGTGTGTGTGTGTGTGTGTGTGTGGGTGGGTGCACATGAGGATATGTATAGCTTAGGGGTGTGTGTGCACACATGAGAGTGTGTATAGCTTAGGACTGTGTATGCACACATGAGGGTGTGTATAGCTTTGTCTGGTCCTCCTGTCTTCAGGTAGATTTCTGGGTTACTCTTCAAGTCACTCACTGCCTCCCAGAGCCCCATCTCCTAAGGTTCTGGGCCCTTGGCTTCTCAGAGGAGTTAACTGTGGAGTTACACACACTGTGTGACTGTAACTGTAGTGACACCCAGCCCCACGCTCCCTACTGCAGCAATGGCCAGGGACACCTTCTATGCGGGATATGCAGGTGAGGCTGGCTTTATTCGTTCCTTTAGCTCCCATGACCTTCTCCTTGTATTCCCCGTCCTTTGCTTTCTGCTTTCTGGAGTGTCCCAGACATCTTATGACTCCACCTGAATATCATGTCCCGAAGAAGCTTCCCATATATGCCAGGGCCTTCATCTTGACCAGAATCCCTCCAGTCATTCCTCCCTCTATCGTTGGTACTCTACTATGTCCTAGTATTGTTCCAGCTGTTTCCATCTCCCTTGAGGACATGGGCCTAGAGCAGTGGTTCTCAACCTCTTCATCTTGACCAGAATCCCTCCAGTCTTTCCTCCCTCTATCGTTGGTACTCTACTATGTCCTAGTATTGTTCCATCTGTTTCCATCTCCCTTGAGGACATGGGCCTAGAGCAGTGGTTCTCAACCTTCCTAATGCTATGACCCTTTAATAGTTCCTTATGTTTTGGTGACCCCCAACCATAAATTATTTTTGTTGCTATTTCACACCTGTAATTTTGCTACTGTTATGAATTGTAAACATCTGTGTTTTCTCATGGTCTAAAGCAACCCCTGTGAAAGGGTCATTTGACCCTCAAAGCTCACGACTCACAGGTTGAGAATCACTGCCCTAGAGGCTCTTGAGAGACAGACCAGACATGGTCAAACTGATCCATCTCTCTCTGCTTTCCCCTCCCAGCTGTGTCCCGGGCCGCCTTGGTCAGCTATGTGAGTGCTCTGAGGCTGAACTGTCCTCCCCAGATTTGGAATCTGGCTGCCGGGCCCCCAATGGGACAGGGCCCCTGTGCAGCGGGAAGGGACGATGCCAATGTGGACGTTGCAGCTGCAGCGGACAGAGCTCTGGGCGTCTGTGCGAGTGTGATGATGCCAGCTGTGAACGGCATGAGGGCATCCTCTGTGGAGGTACCTAGAGTCTTTGGGAGAAGGGAGGGAAAGAGGGCCTCCTAGCGCACTTAGACGCTGAGGGCAAATTTCAAAGATTGTGGTTATGAGCTAGAGGACATGCCCAGCACAATTGAGAAGGACGATAGTGACATGCTGGGCCAACTGTGTGTGAAAATGGTGATCACCCTATGCATGGTTCTTCCTCAGGCTTTGGACACTGCCAATGTGGAGTATGTCACTGTCACGCCAACCGCACGGGCAGAGCATGTGAATGCAGTGAGAATGTGGATAGCTGTGTCAGTCCCAACGGAGGGCTCTGCAGTGGGCATGGACACTGCAAATGCAACCGTTGCCAGTGCCAGGATGGCTACTATGGGGCTCTGTGTGACCAGTGCCTTGGTTGCAAGTCACCATGTGAGCAATACAGGTGAGGCCTCTGGTCTTTCATCTTGGGAGTTGGGGCACAGTGAGCTTGCTAAGAACTCCTACCTGCCTGCTCTCCTTGAGGGTGTGTAGGGGAGGGCTACTAGATAGCTGCTGCCCAGATGGGAACTCATTGACATTCACTGAACAGGGACTGTGCAGAGTGTGGGGCCTTTGGCACTGGTCCCCTGGCAGTCAATTGCAGCGTGGCCTGTGCCGATGTGAATGTGACTGTGGCCATGGTCCCTAATTTGGACGATGGCTGGTGCAAAGAGAGGACACAAGACAACCAGCTGTTCTTCTTCCTGGTGGAGCATGTGGCTGAAGGAGTCATACTGAGAGTGAGACCCCAAGAGAGTAAGTGCACAGAGCCTCAGAACTAGGGATGTGAATGGGTTTGAAGTAGAGCTGCAAACCTAGGGCAAAGGCAGAGGGGATGAGACTAAGGTCCAAGGAAGACAACCTTGGGCTCTGCTGGGTTGTTTTTAGTGACAGGGCTGGGGAGGCTGGACACCCTTCGGGTAACTGTGGATCAGCTCTTATACCTTGGCCCACCAGAGGGAGCAGCAGATCACACCCGTACCATCATACTGGGCTGCATAGGTGGCATTGTGGCTGTGGGACTAGGGCTAGTCCTGGCTTATCGGCTTTCTGTGGAAATCTATGATCGCCGTGAGTACAGCCGCTTTGAGAAGGAGAGGCAGCAACTCAACTGGAAGCAGGTAAGGCCAGCTCCTATTGCCACAGGCTGGGCTTTCCTTACTTGACTTCCCTGGGGTCCTCTTCCTCTTTTTCTACTTCCCTAAGCTGTAACCAGCTCCAAAGCACCCTTACCCAAGTCCCTCCCGCTTATGCTGGGTTGGCCTCACAGGATTAGGCAATGGGAGAGCCTGCTATTTTCCTTACACAATGTTCACAATGTTTTCCCACAGGACAGCAATCCTCTCTACAAAAGTGCCATCACAACCACTATCAACCCCCGCTTCCAAGAGACAAACGGTCCTGGTCCCTCTCTCTGACTGAGGCAACACTCACTTAGGATTCTTGTCTTGGAGGACAGTGGGGGACAGCAGGGCAGGGCCTGTCAGAGGGCTGCTTCCCACGGCTGCAACCATTCCCCACCTCATGAAGGGTTCTCCCACAATAAAGGCTTGCCTCAGACCACAGCCTTCACTTTGCTTCACCCCAAGACAGAAAAAGCAGACTGCCTAGCTCAGGTCTCAGGACGACAGGTGTGTTTCTGTTGTGTGACCTGGGAATACCTGGGCCAGTGGATATCAGGTGATGCTATCTACCACCTTCTAAGAGACCCTACCTACCCATCTTGTCAGGCTGCTGAGAACCTTTCTCAGCAAAAATGATACCTTTTTGTCTCTATTTGTTGTGTCTCTTTGGAGAGAAGATGTTTTAACAGGGTAGCTTGCTCTGTTACAAGTTGTAGGGTGGTTAACATAGAAAAGGAGCCTATTAAAACCACTCTGGCCTTTGGTGATAAAGTGCCCCCAACAAATCAAGTCTTCTCAAAGAGGAGATGGAATGTAGAAAAGCGCCATTCTTTTTATTTAAATATCCTAAATATATCACGAAGGAACATACACTGCACTTTAATGGTAAAAAGATACAAGTTTATAACATCTTATAAAACTACCATTTAAAAGTGATCTTGTTCATTTGATAGTCCCCTCCCCCATAGCAAAATAAGTATATTTAAAAAAAAAAAAAAAGGTGGAGCATGGTAGGAGGGAATTGAAGATAAAAGCCCAGGGCCACAGTAGAGACGGAAGGAACTGGGAGAGGTGAAACTGTGGCGAAACTCCACTCATCGAACCCTCCGTGTCAAGCCATGGAGCGCAATCAGTAGCTAAGTGGTGACAGGAGGCTGGTGGGGATGGATGGAAGGACAGGCACCAGCAAGGGCACGATGGCAGGGCTGGCATTGTGGGAGCCCACCCAGGGACTGGGATTACTCTGCCCACCCAACCCACATTCACATTTTGATCTCAGAGCACCTGCCCCTCTCTTCGTTTCCCCTTTCTACACACACCTGAGACATCTGTCCAGTGCTAACACACCACCTTAGTAGAGCTGCAGCATCAGGCCCAGGAGCCTTTGCAGCCATCTGTGGTTTCCCTGGGGTAGAGATGTGGTTCCTGAGCCCTTGGGTGTCCTATTACTCTTCATCCCAGAGCCTGTCTGTTCTGAACTACACTGCCAGTCTCACACTCAGGCCTTGGCAGTGTAGCTCTGGTTGGGCCATCTGTACATACATTCCCAAGTTCTCTTCCTCCCAGCTTTCACTCAGCAAGAAGCCAAGGTCTGCAGGGCCTGCCCTGACCCAGTACATACATTCATACATGTAGAAACACGGGTCATTCTCCTACCTCCCCCAACAAACAGATCATCTTCAAGCAGCAGGGAGGGCTCCCATTCCCAAAAGCATTTTAGGGAGGGTATCTTTCTCAATGTTTCCTTTCCCAGAGTTGAATGACAGAAAAATCCCAGTCCAGCAGAACCCGCTAACTTGAAAGGATCTGCTTTGTATGCACAAAGATGCCCAAGGGCCACATGGTAAGTCAAACACTGAGGCGCAGGTTCTAGAGCATATCAAACAGTAGGGACAGCATGAAGTTAGAACACATGGCAGTGAACAGTCCTCAGACACCTCACCCAAGGCTCTCAGGTGCTGTCAGAGTCAAGTTGAAGGTTACAACATCTTCCCTTCTTTTTCCCTGAAGTACTTCAACCCGAGAGATATGAGGTACCATCCCTCAACACACTGGAAGAGGCCACAGCCAACAGTATGTTGCTGCCTGGCCCTCTTTGCTAGGCAAGAACTTCTTGGAGGCTGCCATCTCTGATTCCTACCCACAGCTACAGCTGTGTGTGTGCTCAAGTCAGTCTCCATGATTACACCTGAAGTAGGTCCCCTGGGGTGGGGTAGTGCTCAATGGAATCTGAAAACCTCCCTTGAGGATCCTTTCTTTATCGGGAAGGGAGTTATTTCACTTTAGAAAATACATGTCCATAAGCCTTGGCTTAGACACACTCTAAGCAGCACACTGTTCAATCATCTACACAACAACAACAAAAAAAAAACCCAAAAAAATCCTTCTGGAACAAAACCTCTCAGTTCCCTTGTTCTCAGCAACCTCTGGGAGGCAGGCACCCTCCAGGTCTGGGCGGGGAGGCTGCTCTATGCTTTCTGTCCTCTAAGTTGGTGGCAGAATACATTTAGCTCAATAATTTTCACCCCTTCCAAGCAAACACACACAGCACTGACAAATCATACCGAGACACACACCTCATCACTTTTTCAGGGTAGACAAGATGGGGGTCTGGAACAGATAAGGTCCAGAATAAAACAGATATTAGGTGTCCTTCCTTTGCTGCATCCTTCCGCCTCCACCTTGTTGGTTAGGGATGCCTATCAAGGAGGAAGCCAAGACCGTGTTCTTTGGGACTGAAGACCAGACTTCCACTCCAACTACTTGAATACAGTCGCAGGATTTGGGCAGGAAGGGGCTCTTTCACACAAGTCACATCAGGGCCACCATGCTTGCTCCTCTAACAGTTGTTGGCAAACTTTGCATTATCCTTGGCTGTTCTAAGACAGCACAAGTGGGGATAGCCCACTTTGACACCCAGGACTCCCTGTTCAACTGCTGCCTGGTTTTTGGAGTCAAGGACAGTGAGGTAGCCACAAACCATAACCAAGACCAACTGCCCAGAAAAAAGGGCTGCACGGGCTACCCCACCCAAGTTTCCTACAAAAGGCACTTGAGCTGACCCCATCAGGCATTGGTGGTGCACAAATCATGAGAACACCCATGGGCACAACACTGCTCTTCGTGAGGAGATAAAAAGGTATGCCCACTCTTCTTGTCCAACCCGATCAGTCCCCCCCTCCCCCCAGTTTCTCCTTTTGTCCTCATAGAGTATAAGAAGTCCAAGTAAGCTTAGCTATCAGCCCTGGTCCTATTTTCTTTCAAACAGAAGTAAGATGTAGGGCTGTGGAACACCAAAGGCCTACAGTAACAAAAAATGGCTGGACCAGCCACAGTCCTTGCTTTGCTTAAGGACTTTGCGTCTCCAGATTACCTGTGTCCCCTGTTTACCTGCTGTAATTGCTTTTGGATAAACAAAAACAAGAGCAGAACAAACAAATGCCCCTCCTCAGTCCTTTTCATTTCAGCTGCCAGTTCCAGTCCAAGGTTGTGGGAACACTTCAGTCTTGGTCCTGTACCTTTGAGTCCCCACCTATGACCTCTGCTAAGGGTCCAGGGACCAGCTCCCCTGCCCAGGAATGCTGTAGGAACTTTCCCGAGATACGCAGAGTCACAGACTATTTACAGAGCTGAGGCTCTGGAGCCGCTGTCCTCTGATGCTCTCTTCTGCTCACCTGGGGCCACTCCTCTGGGAAGGGGGACAGGTTCAGAGGGAGTGGTGGTGGGGCCATCAGAGCAGAGGGGTGTGCTCTTTGGTGGACTCCTCTCATCACTCCCACCACCTAGGGCTCCCGTGTCTATAGAGAAAACTGCCCATCAGATGTCTTGGACTGGCATCCTTGGCACATCCGTTTGTGTCTGAGTAGTCGGTCTGTCCTAGAAAAACACTGTGGAGAGAGAGAGGGAGGATTAAGCTCCAAGAGAAATTTAGTTGTCTGTTAGTAGGTTCCTTCCTTGTAGAGAAGGCTATGCTATGTTCTTGTTCTCTCAGCATCTGCATAGTAGGAGCACACAGTGCTGAGGAACACTCATGTTGCTGGGCATGGTGGTACACGCCCTTAATCTCAGAACTCAGGAGGCAGAGAAGCAGGTGGATCGCTGTGAGTTCGAGTCTAGCCTGGTCTACATAGGACAGCCAGGGCTATGTAGACAGACCCTGTCTCAAACAAACAAGAAGAACCAATGCTGTTTCTAGGGGCCAGGGATGCAGCTCAGCTGGTAGAGTGCTTGCCTAGTACACATGAAGCCCCAGATTTGATACTCAATACCTATAAACTGATCATGGTGGTGCACACCTTTGATTCCAGCACTTGGGAGCCGAAGGCAGGAAGATCAGACATTCAAGGTCATCCTTGGTTATACATAAAGTTGGAAGCCAGTGTGGACTACCTAAGACCCCATCCCAAAAAAGGAGAGGTGGGCAAATGATGAGATGTCTCAGCAGGTAAAGGCCCTTGTTGCCAAGATGACCTGAGTTTGATGTCTAGAACCAACATAATAGAAGGAGCTCCTCCGATCTCCACACCTGTGCTGTATTATGTACACACAATAATAAATGTTAACAACAACAAGCCTGTGCTGGAGCAAAGGGCCTGGACTTGGAATGCTGGTTCTGTCATTTAGTCATGTGACAATGAGCAAATTACCTAACAGCTCCGAACCTGTCTATCTGAAGGAACAGGTTAAAAGCATCCAACACAGTGTAGCTGCTTCACTCACCAAATGTTTATTTTGCCGGAATGGAGACCAACCCCAAGGGGAGGGCATACTTGGCAAGACTCACCACTGAGATGCACACCACTAGCTTCTCATCACATACTTATCTTAAGGTTTGTACACTATTTGGGCCCAAGGACAGGGCAGACAACTACATTTCTTTGAGACAGGCTTTGCTGCTTAACTGAGGCTGGCCTAGAACTTGTGGTCCTCTTGCTCTGCTTCTCCTGCGTGCTAGGATTACGCTATGTGCTACCAAACTCGGCTCCCTCATGGTGCTGCATTCTAGTGTTTTGGCTTTGTGACAAGAGCTCACACTGTGCAGGCTAGACTCAAACTTGCTATGGCTGCAGAGGATGCCTCTCGGATGATGGGTTAGGGTCACATGCCGTCACCATCAGCAGCAGCTCTCATCCTAGCATTCTGAAGACTCACTGTAACTGTGGACTTGAGAGCTGAGAGTGAGCAGAGCATCTAGGAAATGTCAGGTGCTATCACTTCTCGCCTGCTGTTCTTGTCTCACTTGGTCCTCACACTTACATTCTCATCAGATCAGATACTGGATCCCCTGGGCAGAGATGACATCGATTTTTCCATAGTGCAGGTGCTTTGAATTTGGACTAAATATCAACTATACTGTTACCTACTGTGTGGGGAAAGTTAACTTCCTGAACTCCAATTTCCCCATTATGTGAGATTAGGATAACACAGCTACCCTAAGGAGATAATGAAGTCAAAACATGCCCAGCACTCAAATTCTATGTTGCATGTTTTCACAAGTACTTGCCATAGAAAAGGAATTCAAGAAATGATATCATCAGGCAGATCTCTGTGAGTTTGAGAACAGCCTGGTCTACACAGTGAGTTCCAGGACAGTCAGAGCTACATAGTGAGACCCTGTCTCAGTGAAAACAAAACAAAAAAAATCCAAATCAAAATAAATGGTAATATGAAAAAACAAAACAAAAAAATCCAAATCAAAATAAATGGTAATATGATATTCTAACAAGAACTACCTATGATTAGCCCCATAAGGCCAGAGATATGCCTCTTTCTGAGGTGCTAACCGTATTGTGGAGGCCCCTCTGTCAGCCAGGAAAAGACTGGCCCTACTTTTTTTTTTCCCCTCGAGCCTGGGGGTTCCTGTGTAGCTTTATAGATCAGGCGGGCCTCAAACTCACAGAGATCCTCCTGCCTCTGCCTCCTGAGTGCTGGGTTTAAAGGCATGCACCACCATCACCTGGTTCCTGGTCCTACTTCTTGGAGAAGGAAAAATTTATGTGTGCTGCTGTTTCAAGGTGGATGACAGGCAAACCTTACCTGATGACATCGTTCACACTGGTAAGGCTTTTCACCACTATGTACACGCTTGTGGCGTTCAAGATGGTACTTCTGGATGAAACGCATATCACATACATCACACTCAAACGGTTTCTCACCTGGCCCAGAGGCAAAAAAGAAGTGAGTACCAAGAGAAGTTTATGGTGGGACCATACATTCCACTTGTCTTCCAGACACCTTAGTGATCGTAAACATGTAAAACTGCTGGTCTCAGTGAACACCTCAAGCCATGCAATCCCACTGCATCACTGAACTAGTCCTCTGCCCCCATTTCTAATGCTCTCCCAGAAAACAAACCCAGCTGGAATACAAGCTACAGACTACTCTCCTCATCTGAAGCAAGCTTGAATACAGATAAAAGACTTACCCGTGTGGATAAGGATGTGCCTCTTGAGGTGGTAACTGCTCCGAAAAGCTCCAAAGCAGTGTTCACAAATAAAATTTTTGGGAATCTTTACTTGAAAAGAGCCATTTTGTTCCACTACCACCACCTGGGGGCAACAATAGGAATGTCATGGAGATATCTCTCTGCCCTCTTCCTAGAGACTATTCTACTCTGGATCCAATTCCAGCTGCTGGACAAGAAACTCTCTGATATTGAGAAAGGTGCTGTTTCCTGTCATATCCCTTAGACTAACAGCCAGGAAGGGAGGAAGATGGACTGGGTGAGCCAGCTGTGTTGCCACAGCTAACACTCAAGATGAGTAAAGCTGGGGTTGGCCTGTCCTGCTACAAGAGCACACATCACACTCCCCACCTATACCAAGAATGGTCAGCAAGGGTGAACAGTGACTGTCAGAGTGGCCCTGGATGAACTCACTAGGGGAAAATGTGAGTCACCATGATTAGAAAAGGAGGTGACCCCATTACCAAACTGCATGAGTCTGGGACTAACCCCATTACCTGCCTTTTTAACAGTTTTTTTTGAATGAGAAGCCTCAGCCAAGCTGTCATCGTCTTTGCGGTTCCGGGATTTATCACTGTCTTTTCGGTGGCCCTTTGAAGACAAATCAAATCTAAACTTACCATCCATCTCAGAACACAAGATGAGAAACTAAATGCTGTTTCTTGATAGTTTATAAAGAGAGTAAACCACCTGCTTCCTCTCCTCAATCCACTTCCTCTTCCCTTTTCCTGGTGTAGGAGTTTGCAGGTACAAGCACTTTCCTTAGCTCTCCAAACACTCACACTCATTCTTTTCCACCTGGACCCCAGTTCCCCACTTCCCTAAATAGAACACCATAACAAAGCAGGGAGGAACTGCAGCTTGGTGCCTCCTGGCAGAGCTTGGGGCCACCCGACCCCCAGGTGCCACAAAGGACTCAAGTGCTGTACCTGACTCGAGCATCTCAGCACCTCAGGGCTACCTGCCCGCTCGCCATTTTCGGCCTGCTTGCTGGCAATCTGGCTCAGCATCATCTTCTTGCTGGCTGCAGTGGGAACCAAACTCACACCTGCTAGGCCTTCACAAGCCAGAAGACTTGCCTAAGTTGAAAGGAGATGAGGTGTCAGGTCACCTGGCAGGGCAGGACAAAAACAAGCTGCTATCCTCAACACATCTACCATTTACACCCAGCAACCAAATGCTTCTCTCCAGGGAATCACAACTCCCTCACTGTCAAGCCTTGCTTCCTTCAAGTCTTTTCTGTCTCACCAAGAACTATTGCCCTCTTTGCATCCTGCAGCAACAAAACACAGATCAAGTTAGTATGAACACTTGTGAGTATTGTACCAAATAGTGTGTGTGGCTACATATTACCTAAAGCATTTCTGAGCTTTAACTGCAGGTATGAGGTTTGTCTATCTATCTGACCCACTGAGAGTCCTAGCAATGTCTTCTGAATTCTTTTATTTTTATTACTTTTACCTATTTATTTGTGTGTGTGTGTGCGTGCGCGCGCGCTCATGCCAGCATTACATTGGAAGTCAGCAGACCACTTGCAGGAGTTGGTTCTCTCCCTCGACCATGTGGCTTCTGGGGAATCTAATTCAGGTTGTCAGGTTGACCGAAGGCTCCTTCATCTACTGAACCATCTTGGTGACCACTGTTTTAGTTTTTAAGATTTTATTTATTTTTACTTGGGAAGTTTTATTGGGAGAAGAGAAGGGAGTGGTGAAAGAGAAGGGAGAGAGGAGAGAAACAGATTTTATTAGTATATATTTTTTAAAGATGTATTTATTATGTATACAACTTTCTGCCTGCATGTATGCCTACACACCAGAAGAGGGCACCAGATCTCATTATAGATGGTTGTGAGCCACCATGTGGTTGCTGGGAATTGAACTCAGGACCTCTGGAAAAGCAGTTAGTGCTCTTAAACTCTGAGCCACCTCTCCAGTCCTTATTATTATATATATTTTAAAAACCATTTATTTATTTTATGTTTATGAGTGACCGGTCTTCATGCCCACCAGGAGAGGATATCAGATCTCATGACAGATAGTTGCCAGTCACCATGTGGTTGCTGGGAATTGAACTCAGGACCTCTGGAAGAGCAGCTGGTACTCTTAACTGCTGAGCCATTTCTCTAGCCTCTTGTTTATTACTATTTTTTATGTGTGTGTATGCACATACACATGTGGGCAGGTGCCCAAGAGACCAGAAGGGGGTGTCAGATCCCCTGGAGCTGAAGTTAGCTGTAAGCTGGCTGATGTGGGTGCTGGGACCTGAATTTTGGTCCTCTGGAAGAGCAGGAAGTGCTTTTAACCGCTAAGCGGCATGGCCCTCAATAGTGCTCAGAGTCAAAGCCACTTTCAGACAGGCAGACCTTTCTGGTGCCAACTACATTTTCTTTTTTTGTAATTTATTTATTTATTTTATTTAAATTGGAAACAAGCTTCTTTTACATGTCAATCTCAGTTCCCTTTCCCTCCTACCCGCCCCCTCCAACTACATTTTCTATGAGGTTATTTCTCACTTTAGATTTTAAATTCCTAAGTGCTGTCAGTCACAGCAAACAGAAAGAACAATCACCTGGATTCTGGAGATGAATATACAATTTCTTTCTACCACTTCAGTCATGCATTTATTTATTTATTTATTTATTCATCTATTTATTTTTGTTTTTCTTTTTCTAACAATTTATTTTTATTTTGTATACATTGGTGTTTTACCTGCAGATCTAGCTGTGTGAGGGTGTTGGATCCCCTGGAACTGGAGTTACAGACACTTGTAAGCTGCTATGTGGGTGCTGGGAATTGAACCCAGGTCCTCTGAAGAGCAGTCAGTGCTCTTAACCTCTGAGCCATCTCCCAGCCCCTATTTTGTTGTTGTTTTTTTTTTTTTTTTTTTTTTTTTTTTTTACTAGGCAGACTTTCTCTGTGTAGTCCTGGCTGTCCTGGAACTTACTTTGTAGACCAGGCTGGCCACCATACCTGCACCCCACCCCTCAATTTAGTTCATTTATATGTGCGCTCTACATAAAGTTTAATAAACGTTAATTAAACAGGGTGCTTTAAGAAATAATCCCTTTTTACCACCACAGTTCTTGAACTGACTTTATTGAGCTAGTACTCCAGAACATACACTTTTCCTACTCAAGACAGTCCAAAGTCAAAAATCTTAGCTCTGTTGTTTGGGTTGTGTAATTCTGGACAAGTCTCTACCTTTGAAATGCCTGTCAGAATAGAAGCCTACCCTCACAGGGTCAAGGAGAACGAGACTGATGTAAATGCCTTAGCAGAACAGTCAACACCATGCTGTGAGCCTAGCTGCACATAGACAAAGACAGACAAAACCCAGAGACTTGACTCTGCCTGGGAGGAGGAAGTTGTTCATGATGGAGCTCTTGGAAGAGAGCCAATCCCACCACAATCAGACTGCCGTCCTGGTGAGACTGGTACAGGAGGTGTCCTCAAAGAAAGCTCAGAGAGGCACGCAGCTTTCCAATCAGAAGACTAAAGCAATCTGTCCCTCTGGCCACCTTGTCCTTTCAATCCATCTGCCACCTTCAGAGTGACAACTATCTTCTGACGACATTACTCTGCTGTCTAACATTCTTTAAGGAGTTCCCCTTTCCTAGAGAATAACATCTAATTCCTCAGGAAGGCACAAAACGCCCTTGGACCACACTCTGCCGACTTCTCCAGAAAACAAACTCCCTCATCCATCATTATCAACCATGTCTCCCTAATGATGCCACATTTCATCCTTTGCCCCCTAACTACTTGTAGCACCCTGAACCTCATCACATCTTCCCAGCCTCTACGCTTCTGTCCGAATGCCCTTCTCTGCTTATTTATCTAGCAAAATCCTATGCATCCTTCAAGCTTCATTTTCTTTTTCCCATCCAGGCAGACGTACCACTTTGCAGTAACATCCTTCTATCATTGCAAACACCTTTAAATCAACAGATGCAGAGGTTCTGCTACCAGCCAGCCCTTTATGCAAGGCATTGTGAATATAAAAATAAATAATAGACTGTCTTTCCACCCCTTCCCCTCCCCCCAACTAGCTTGGAAGCTTACTGGGGACAAGGACAATCTTATTCATCTTTGTATTCCAAGCACAATGCCTTGCATGGAACAGGAGCTCAATAAAATTCCTGTTGAAAAAGAAAAACAAATGAAGCATTCAGCAGACTAGTCACTCCCTGTTGCCCAAGTACTCTACGTACCAGAAGTACACTGAGTACAAGGTGCTTTGCCAATGGCCCATCAGTGCCTGTGATGCGGTATATAGCCTACCTCCTTCATTTGACTGGAAGCTCCCTGAAGGCAGGGAGGCCTGTATTCTTTCCTTCCTCTAGATCTCCCCCTGGTGTTTAACACAGAGCTCGGCTCACTGGGGATGGTCAATACTGTTGACTAAGGCAGAATTCAAGAGTGACATTGCAAACAGGCTTCCCAGTGAATGATCTTGAAGGAGGACTCTAGAGTGAACTTTTTACCTGAGCCATGCTGGTTTTTCACCTAATGAACCCCAAAGTTCAGAAGTTCTTTATCCAGCTTTCCTTAAGTTGTTTGAAGAACTGTCACCAAATCACAATAATGGCTCCTTCCTGTTCTTTCAGTTCAGTTGCCATATTGAACTGCCTTTGTCTTCCCAAAGAATTTAATGTCCTCCAAAGGGAAAACAGGTGTTGCAAAAATCCGAGGTCTCTGACTTCTGCCTACTGTCTGAAGGAATGATAGTCTATCCGTCTTGGTTTCCCAGGTGAATTTTCTTGGTGAAGCTCTAGGTTTGCTCCAGGAACCTGAAACCAGAAAGGGAGACAAGGCCCTTAAGTGTAACATCCTCAGGCCATACAACGCTTGACACCCTCTCAACTTATTTTGCTGCACTCTCTGAAGCTCAAGAGGAGGACATGAGTCAAGAGCTTTCTTTCTAGGCCAGAAGAAACTGGCCTCCTGGGCCAGGAGGAGCAGCCAACAGGAGTAAAAGTAAGTTGGGTCTCCTATAAAGAGAACCTGCCAACAGAGTAAGTGCTCGGATTTGCCATCTTAGGAACGGAAGAAGGGGGCGGAGGCCCTCTGGGGCTTTTGTGCCGAGTGGGCCGGCCTGCAAAACTGGCACTCCACAGACGCTGGCACAACCGTGCTGGAGGGAAGTTCGGGGGCCACCGCTGAGCCGGACAGGGGTGTCTAGTAGACACCGACTTCTAGTGCCCACGCGTGAGTGTTACTCCGAGTCCACCCGAAGGTACGTAAATTCGCCGCGGAGGAGCTGAAGCTGGAACTGGGGTTGGGGCTGGGGCTGAAGGTGGAGGTGCAGGGCGAGCATGCTCT